CACCAGCGAATAGTAATTCTTGAAGGTGGACACCAGCTTGAAGGGGATGTGAGGCATCAGAGAGCAGGTCACCTGCCCATAGACACCGGAGTCACGGTCGGACACGGAGACAAAGGCGATGACGGTGCCAAGTGGAGTGTCCTCTCTGACCGGCAAAGACAGAGGTGTGATTGCCAGTTGTGGAGCATTGTCATTTACATCCAGCACTTTCACTAAAACCTTGCAGTGATTCGACATTGGAGGATTTCCTTTATCAACTGCTTTTACCTGAATTTCATAGGATTTTGTTTCTTCATAATCCAGTCTACCAATTAGCCTAATTTCTCCTGAGTTGGAATCAATTTTGAAGTTTTTTTGAATGTTTAGAGGAACATCACTGCCAAAGGAAAAAACAATTTCTCCATTTACACCTTCATCGGCATCAGAGGCGTTTAATGTAGTCACTAATGTTCCATTTGCTGTACTTTCTAATAAATGGACTCTGTACACAGCCTGGGCAAACAATGGGGCATTATCATTAACGTCCAGCACTGTGATCAGCAGCTGAACTGTACCTTCCAGCTCTGGTTTGCCCCCATCAGTGGCTGTCAATAATAAATGAAGTTCTGATGTTTCTTCTCTATCCAAAGATTTCCTCAATTCAAGTGAAAGTGACTTACTGAGTTCATCACTTGCCTGTACATCCAAAGAGAAATAATCGCTGGGGCTGAGGGTGTAAGTTAGAAGAGCGTTGGTACCAATGTCCTCATCAGCAGCGCCCTCTATCGGGAAACGTGAATCCACCAGTCTAGATTCAGGAATAAATAACCTTTGTTCTCTTGCTCTGAAAACCGGTGGGTTATCATTAATGTCCTTCACCTCCACCACCACATGGAAAACCTGCAGCGGCCTGTCCACGATCACCTCCAGGTGGAGGCTGCACTCCGCGCTCCGCCTGCACAGCTCCTCCCGGTCGATCCGAGAATTCACAAACAAAATGCCATTCTGCAGATTTACCTCCAGAAGGTCCCCGTGGCCTTTGGACGCCACCCGGAAAAGGCGCGGCACCAGCTCTGCCAGCTCCAGCCCCAAGTCTTGGGCGATGCGGCCCACGAAGGTGCCGTGTTTGGCCTCCTCGGCGACCGAGTAGTGGACCTGACCACTCCCAGTCTTCCAGGCTGCGAGGAGCAGAACGGAGAGCAACAAACGCAGGGCTCCCTTGCCTCCTTGCCTAGGAAACAGCATCGCAAAACCACTAAAAATTTGGTACCGCTCTCTCACTTCAAAGTCATACTCTCTTTACTTTATATCTTGAATAATATATCTCCCGGCCGTTTTTGTCTTCTCTCAGGCTGTGACAAAATGGAGCTTCCTCCTTTAGTTTTTGGTGACAAGACTTTGTGGTATACAGCGACATCATGTGGCTAATGGTGTAGATTTGAGATTCATTCACTGATTTCCAAAAGTCTATATATTCATTTGCAATTTACTCAATGCAATCATTTTCAGTTATGTCTTTTAAAGACTGGTACACTTCAAATCTCACTTATTCTTAAAATGAAGCAAATTCAGAATTTGGAACTTTTAAAAATACCAGTAGATTTAGGCAATACTGTTAATATTTTAATATGCAAGGTACTTTAATGTATAGATTTCCTTTTATGCATTTTATTACTATGAAGAATACATAGAATAAATTCTAACCACAATTTACTGGCATTCAGATATTTCAAACATAAAACTGTTGAATTAAATATACTTTTGTTTTCTACAGTTAAAAACTTATTTTACCTTTTATAACGTATCTATATTTAACTGAAAACTATATAATTATCAAGCTTTAATTTTGAAAACTACAATCTTTATAATTTCAGCTATATTGTAACGTTTCATCCTCTTTATTTTTATGAAAATTGTTCAATTTGAATATATTCTCAGTATAGAAAAATGTCATTTACAATGATCAGATGACACTTAATTGAAACTTAAAACAATAGTTAATCATGGACTATATTGTCATCGTTGTGATTATGAAAATAAAAGGCTACACAATACTATCTTCAAAGGAAAAATAAACAGGAGTGTAATGCCTGGAAAATTTGTTATCAGAGCTGTTAAAATAGCAGAGTTCAAGTTAAGCTGGTATAAACTCAAATTAGAGGGTGATAACTTTAAGATATTAAATGCAATGTCCATGGTAACCACAGAGCAAATAGCTATAGAATCTGAATAGATCTGGGGTGCTTGGGTGGCCCAGTCAGTTAAGCTCGGACCATGATTTCATGGGTGGTGAATGGAGTCTGCATTATATATATATATATATATATATATATATATATATAATGTATAATATGTATATATATATACATATAAAAATGAAATTTGCAACAACATGGATGGAGCTATAGAATATTATGCTAAGTGAAATAAGTCAGTCAGAGAAAGACAAATACCATGTGATTTCACTCATATGTGGAATTTAGGAAATAAAACAAAACAAGCAAAGGTAGAAAAAGAGAGAAAGGCAAACTAAGAAACAGCCTCTTTTGGGTGCCTGGGTGGCTCAGTAGGTTAAGCGACTGCCTTCGGCTCGGGTCATGATCCTGGAGTCCCGGGATCGAGTCCCACATCAGGCTCCCTGCTCGGCAGGGAGTCTGCTTCTCCCTCTGACCCTCTTCCCTCTCGTGCTCTCTATCTCTCATTCTCTCTTTCTCTCAAATAAATAAATAAAATCTTAAAAAAAAAAGAAACAGCCTCTTTTATTTTTTTTAAACTATACCCCCAATGTGGGCTCAAACTCACAACCCTAAGATCAAGAGTTGCATGCTCTACTGACTGAGTCAGCCAGGTGCCCCTCAGACACTTAACTATAGAGAACAAATTGATGGTTACCAGAAGGGAAGTGGAGGATGGATTAAATGGTGGATTTGTGATGAACACCTCATGATGTATGAAAGTGTTGGGTCACTATATTGTTCACCTAAACTAAAGCTATACTGTATGTTAACTAACCAGAATTTAAATAAAAATTTCTTTTAAAAAAAGTAAAGGGGTAGAGAAGAATTTATCATGCAAATGGATATATAAAAAGAAAGCTAGGTAGTAATGCTTATATCAGAAAAAATAGACTTTAAAACAAAGACTGTAACAAGAGACAAAGAAGGACACTATACACTCATAAACAGAACAATGCAACAAGAAGATATACCAATGGTAAATATTTACGCATCCAACATAGTAACACCCAAATACATAAAGCAGCTAATAACAAACATAAAGGAAGTTTGATAGTAATAACAACAATAGTAGGGGACTTTAACATCCCACTTACATCAATGGACAGATCATCCAAATAGAAAATCATGGAAAAGAGTGGCTTTGAATGACAGAATGGACGAGATGGATTTAACAGATATATTCAGAACATTCCATAACCTAAAACAGCAGAATAGACATTCCTTTCAAGTACACAAGGAACATTTTCCAGAACAGATCAGATATTAGGCCATAAAATGAGTCAAACAAATTAAAAAAGATTGAAGTCATACCAGGCCACAACAATGCTATAAAACTAGAAATCATGGGGCACCTGGGTAGCTCAGTTATCAAGCGTCTGCCTTCGTCTCAGGTCATAATCCCAGGGTCCTGGGATCAAGCCCCACATCAGGCTCCCTGCTCAGCGGGAAGCCTGCTTCTCCCTCTCCCACTCCCCCTGCTTGTGTTCCCTCTCTCACTGTGTCTCTCTCTGTCAAATAAATAAATAAAATCTTAAAAATAAATAAATAAACAAACAAACAAATAAATAAATAAATCTAGAAATCAACCACAAGAAAAAAATCTGGAAACAGCAGAAATACATGGAGGTTAAATAACATGCTATTAAACAATGAATGGGTCAGCCAGAAATCAAAGAGGAAATAAAAAAAATACATGGAGACAAATGAAAATGAAAACACAGCAGTCCAAAATCTTTGGGATGCAGCAAAACCTGACCTAGGAGGGAAGTTTACAGCCATAAAGGCCTAACTCAAGAAGCAAGAACAATCTCCAATAAACAATTTAACCTTATATCTAAAGGAGCTAGAAAAAGAACAAACAAAACCCAAAACCAGTAGAAGGGAGGAAATAATAAAGGTTAGGGCAGAAATAAGCAAAATAGAAACTAAAAGAATAGAACAGATCAATGGAACCAGAAGTTAGTTCTTTAAAAAGATAGAAAAAATTGATAAAACTTTGACCAAACTCATGAGAGAGAGAGAGAGAGAGAGAGAGATGACTCAAATAAAAAAAAATCAGAAATGAAAGAGGAGAAATAACTGACACCACAGAAATACAAAGGATTGTAAAAGAATATTATGAAAAATTATATACCAGCAAGTTGGACAATCTAGAAGAAATAGATAAATTCCTAGAAACATATAATCTCCCAAAACTGAATCAGGGAGAGATAGAAAATTTGAAAAGTCTATCTAGTTGTCCAGTTTTCCCAACTGGACCACTTTCTTACACCATACACAAAAATAAATTCAAAATTGTTAAAAGACCTAAATATGAGACAGGCAACCAACAAAATCCTAAAGAACACAGGCAGCAACGTCTTTGACTTCAGCCATAGCAACTTCTTACTAGACACATCACTGGAGGCAAGGGAAACAAAAGCAAAAAGTGAACTATTGGGACTTCATCAAGATAAAAAGCTTCTGCACAGTGAAGGAAAAAAATCAACTAAACTAAACAAAACTAAAAGGCAATCCATGGAATAGGAGAAGATATTTGAAAATGACATATCTGATAAAGGGTTAGTATCCAAAATCCATAAAGAACTTATCAAATTCAACACCTCAAAAATGAATAATCCAGTTAAGAAATGGTCAGAAGACAAGAATAGACATTTTTCCAAAGAAGACATCCAGATGGCTAACAGACACATGAAAAGATACTCAACATTCCTCATCATCAGGGAAATACAAATCAAAACCACCATGAGATACCACCTCACACCAGTCAGAATGGCTAAAATTAACAACAAAGGAAACAACAGATGTTGGCAAAGATGTGGAGAAAGGGGAACCTTCTTATACCATTGGTGGGAATGCAAACTGGTGCAAACATTCTGGAAAACAGTATGAAGTTTCCTCAACCAAGTAGGTTTAGAGGGAACATAATAAACACAATAAATAACATAATAAAGACAATATATGAGAAATCCAGAGCTAACATCATACTCAGTGGTGAAAAACTAAGACCTTTTCCCCTAACATCAGGAACAAACAAGGATGTCCATTCTCACAACTTTTATTCAACAAAGTACTGGAAATCCTAGCCACAGCAATCAGACAAGAATAAGGAATAAAAGACATCCAAATTGGTAAGGAAGAAGTAAAACTTTCACTATTTGCACAAAACTAAACCTGACCTGATACCATGTATAGAAAACACTAAGGACTCCTCCAAAAAAATTACTAGAACTGATAAATGAATTCAGTAAGGTGGAAGAATATAAAATCAGTCTACAGAAATCCATCACATTTCTTTATACTAATAATAAAGCAGCAGAAAGAGAAATTAAGAAAATATCCCCATTTACAACTGCACCAAAAATAATAAAATACCTAGGAACAAACTTAAACAAGGAGGTGAAAGACCTGTACTCTGAAAATTAGAAGACACTAATGAAAGAAATTGAAGATGACACAAACAAATGGAAAGATATTCCATGTTCATGTATTGGAAGAACAAATATTGAAAAATGTCCAGGGGTGCCTGGGTGGCTCAGTTGGTTAAGCAACTGCCTTTGGCTCAGGTCATGATCCTGGAGTCCTGGGATCGAGTCCCACATCAGGCTCCCTGCTCAGCAGGGAGTCAGCTTCTCCCTCTGACCCCCCTCTCTCTCATGCTCTCTGTCTCTCATTCTCTCTCTCGCAAATAAATAAAATATTTTAAAAAATAAAAAAGAAAAATGTCCGGACTACATAAAGCAATCTACAGATTTAGTGTAATCCCTATCAAAATACCAACAGCAGTTCTCACAGAACTAGAATAAACAATCCTGAAATTCGTATGAAGCAACAAAACACTCCAAATAGCCAAAGCAATGTTGAAAATCAAAAATAAAGCTGGAGGTATCACAATTCTGGATTTCCAAGTTATACTACAAAGCTGTAGTAATCAAAACAGTTCGATAGAACAGGAGAGAAAGCGCAGAAACAAACCCATGATTATATGGTCAATTAATATGTGACAAAGGAGGCAAGAATATGCAATGGGAAACAGTCTCTTCAAATAATGGTCTTGGGAAAACTGGACAGCTATATGCAAAAGAATGAAACTGGACCACTTTCTTACACCATATACAAAAATAAACTCAAAATGGATCAAGGGGTGGGGAGTGGATTAAGGAAGTAAATGTGAGACCTGAAACCATGAAAA